CAGCATCCAATACACACTCAACACAAGGCTCCAGCCTGTCTCTCTCAACCACCCAGGTTAGGCATCTTGAATCAAGCAGAGCATCGTCACGTTCTGGTTGTTCGCGCTCACCTCGTATTCGTTCTTGTTGCGCATGTGTTTGATGATGTAGTTCGCTCCGTCCACAGCTGGCTTCATTTCAGAGTACAGCTGATCTGTCACACCTCCATCATCCTGTGGTTTCACCACTACACACAAACACACACACAAACACACACCTCGATTTAAACATCCTCTCTGCAGGTTTTACTGCAAAGTCCACTGATCACGTATACGACCAAACAGCTGGCCCCAGCAGCATCAGACTCCAACACAAAGATGCAAAACTACGTGTAATACTGATGTGCTAAAGCCTGGCGACGAAGGCCACATCACTACATCTGATTCTGATTTCCTGTCACAATAACGCAGCATCTTATAAACACTCAGGTGACGGTGCGTACATGCAGCATGGGTGACTCGAGTGGTGAAGCCGTGTCTCTCCGATTGTTTCTCAAACATCAGCTCGCTGCGAGACTTGACGGTGTAGTACTCGTCCGCTTTGGCGATGTAACCCACTGAACTCGATCGTCGCGGCAACGCTCCATCCCACGCTGGCTCTGCCTCCGCAGGGTGGGACATGAGCAAGAGCCGAGGCAACCGTTCGAGGAAAAACTGGACGTGGACAGAAACGTGTTTATTTAAATAAAACTCAGAAAGTTTTATATTTAATACATTACTATTGCTGTATGGCACTATTACAGTACTACACTGCAGTGTGTCTGAAAGCTGACACTTTAAGTTGGCATATATTGGACAAACAAAAGTAAATCAAATATAAACAAATGAATTTTAATGCCATAAATATTCTTAAAAATGTAGTCATTGAATTAATGCTCAAATACGCCATAAATAGATATTTGTAGTATTTAATTCTGTAGTTATGTACCTTGATATTGATTCTCCTATTTTTGCTTTTGAATAATTTTACTTTATTATTTTATTTTCAGCTGTGCTGCCTCAGCGCTGTCAGTGTGAATCAGTGAATACACATCAATAAGCAGCAAAGCATTAAAATAAGCTGGGAAAATATTGTGAGAGAAAGATGCAAAGCAAATAAAAAATTCTGCAGCTCAGGTCATAACTCGCACTCCGTTAAGAGCTCATATTACCCCAGTTCTTCAGCAGCTTCACTGGTTGCCCATAGAGGCCAGAATAAATGTTAAAATCTTACGTCTTACATACAGGTGTATCCATAAATCTGCTCCTTCATATTTATGTGACCTGCTCCATATCACCTTCTCAGATCATCATCTGCTATTCATCTTACTGCTCCATCCTCACACCTTAGTACTATGGGGAACAGAGCTTTCAGTCGCTCTGCTCTGGAAGTCTCTTCCTCCTCCTTCCTCCTGTTGACTCCCTCTCCGTATTTAAGTCACAGCTCAAAACACATCTGTTTAAACTGGCTTATTCGCTTTAATGCTGATTTTATCTGTTGTCAAGCTCTGTTTTGTAATTTTAACTTATTTTATGTATTTTATGAATATTTTTTCTTTTATTAATTGTGTTTTTTGTAAGGTGACCTTGGGTTTCTGAAAGGCGCCCTTAAATGAAATGTATTATTATTATTAGAAATAAGTTCTAAATAAATAAATTAGTTTTTAATAAGTTTTTAAAATGTGCAACAGAGATTTAAAATAAATGCACAGAAATATTCTTTGGCTGCTGCTTAAAATGTGTAATATGTTTGTGCATTCAATGGTATATTTTATAAATTCATTTCACCTGGACAGGATGTACATCACATGTGTGTGTGTGTGTGTGTGTGTGTGTGTGTGTGTGTGTGTGTGTGTGTGTGTGTGTGTGTGTGTGTGTGTGTTTTACCCTCTTGGTCCACTCAGTCATGACGTGCGTGCTCGGCGTCCTGAAGTGCAGGTTGAGGACGACCACACAGTTTAAAACGACCACAGTAACCAGCACCATGATGAACATCAAATACCTGAGAGACAGTTTAACTTTAACTTTGATCTATTATTTCTTTCTTTTTTAAATTAAATATACACATTATTTTCTCACTTTTCATTTCTTGTTATTTGTCAGCGAGTGTTTACAGACTGGGAACTTTAAAAAACAGCAGTCCATATTTGGAGAGTCTTCACCCCAAACAGGAAAACTGTAATTCTGGGCATCAAACTGGCTCCAAAGCAAACAGCTGTGCTACACTTTACTGAACAAATGATGCGCTTCCAGTATGCAGACTCTTTCTCCAAGTTCTCATTATTACTTCAGTCCCGTTTGAAGGCTTCTGTCCTGCAGTCCATTCCTCTCATGACTCTCTCCTTTGAGGCTACAATTCCCAACTGTTGGACGTCACATATCTCAGTCGTTTTTCGTTTACTTCCTGCCTCTGCCAGGCTCCTTCTGTCCTGCGTGTCTCTGAATTTCTTGACGACACTTCTCACTCCAGTTCATGATACACGCTGTGATACTAACTTTGAATATTCATCTCCTGCGTTGTGAGCATCAACGATTCTTTTTGTCAAATCTAAACAAATGTATCTGGTTTTGGCATGACGCTTTCTCAGGTGACATGTTAAAGCCTTGTTGAAGTTTTTATACTGCATGTTTAACTCACTTCTACAAACTTTGAGCATTGCAAAGTTTAAGTACATCCCTGCACAGCAGTGGTTTGCGCTCTGGCTCAATAAAAAGGGCGTCAGAAGGCTAATAACACTGACCCTGGTAACTCTGACTGTTCTCTGAAATAATCGTGTTGCTGTGTGCAAACAGAAATCATTCATGTTTACTGAAGAAAACCAGCATATTATAATGAAGCACTTGGAAAAGCTTCAATCTGAATCTAAAGCTGATGTTTCCAGCTG